AGCCTAACCTGCCCCTCTCCTTCCCAGTGGCCATGGCTGTCCCCGGACCCCCTAGGTTAGTCCCAGACACCAGAGGGGGATGGGCTGGCCCTGGAGTATGGGCCCCCACTGATTTAGCAAGAGGGAGTCCGGATCCTCTGGAGAGAGCTTGTTTACCTTTCTAGAGGGAATTATGTGAGCAGAAGGACTTCGTGTGACTGAGTAGGTGGCCGCATTTCTCTGTCCCGAGGGAGACCCCCAGCCCAGGGGTCCGAGGGGAGGGAGCCATGGGAGAAAGCCTGGGAACACTGCCCCCCGAGAGGTGTTGTTTCGTCGTCAGCCTCTGGGACCCCCTCTTTCTGCTCTCTTACCAGTAGGACTCAGAGGGCTCAGAGTGGGGGCCTGCTCTGGGCTGGGGGTTCTGGGGGTCTGCTGGGCGCAAGGTGGGGTGGCTAGCCCACAAGGTCTTTTGCCCACAGAAGTGGTCTTTGGATGGAAAGTTTGAGGACCACTGGTCTGGAAGCCTCCGGGTGAGTCTGGGTGCTTTTCCGTTCTAGGACTTTCCACGGCAGGAAAGTGGGCTCTCAGGGAGCAGGGGGCGGGGCCGCTCGGGGCCTGGGAGACCGACAGCAGGCCACACGGCCACAAATCCTACAGGAAGTTCTGTCTTCTTAGGGACATTGGGGCAGATCTGCCGGATGGTGAGGGGCCGGTGGGGGAGGGGGAGCGTGCCGCGGGGCCATTCCATGAGGGAACAGGTTCGCGTCTCAGTCTTTGTCTGGCTCTCCATTCGCTCCTCTTCTCCTCCCCTAGCGGTGTCCCCGGAAAGAAGTGTGGCACCATTGTCCTGTCCGCTGAGGAGCTCAGCAACTGCAGGGTGAGTGTCCGGGACCCTGGGCAGGAGCGGTGCGGTGGGCAGCGGCGGCGGCCGGCCAGCCGGCGAGCAGGAGGGAGCTGTGGTAGACGGGCCTGTCACCGAGTTCAGTAACATCGGAGCTAGAAGGAAGCCTCTCTATTGCTTGCTGAGCAGACTGGGGCCCAGGGGTGACTCCCTGGTTCCTGTGCCATCAATGGCCACCATCTTGTGGCCTGGAGGAGCCAACACTGATGGAGGGGCGGATTCCATTTTGAAACTTGGCATCTAGTTGTTACTTTTCCCTTTCAGCTCTGGCGTGGAGTGGAAGGAGGAAGGCAGGTGTGGGTGTGCTGGCCAGGCAACGACTGCTGTTGGGGCAGCCCTGGCTGTGCTCCTTGTAGAGCAGTGGGGAGAAAGAAGCAGGAGACGGGGACAGTAGAAGGGAGACGGACCACCCCAAGAAGGGGCTCAGGGAGCCTGGTGGCTGACAATGTGATCTAATGATAATAATGCCGTCTAATGATTCTAATGCCTTCTAGTCATATTGCCGTCTAGTAATAATAATACATCCTAATGGCCATGAGAGTTATTCCTGGCCAAGGGGTGGGCATTTTATGTATGTTAGCTGCTACTTCTGATAACAGTCCCACGAGGTAGGTACGTACTATCGCTCTACCCATTTTACTGATGAGGATGTTGAGGCTCAGATGTTGCCTGTCCAAGGACCGTCCGTGGCAGTCAGGCTACCGATCCAGGTCGGCCTGATTCTAAAACTCGGGCTCAT